GGGATTCACCCAAAGTGAGAATATCTTCCTCCTTTCCAGAATAGTTTTGGGCAAGACTAAAAAATGGGTCTCCTGGGTAGACATTGATAGAGCTTCCTTTATGCAGAAATTAAGTAGACAAAGATTTCTCAATCAGTTAATTCTAGTTATGCACCAGAGCTCTTCGAAGTACTGCTCCTTCCCTGAAAAGACTGGAAGATTGACGGCCTTCCCCAGATCAGAAGGCAGACTGTGTGAAAGTTTCAGTATCTTCTGATTCTTATTATTGGCGTCAGCACATAGCAATCACAAGGTTTTAATGAGTGTCATCAGATGGCAAGGCTGAGATTTCTAGCGTGTGGACCTCCAGGCTGCATCCAGTTCTGTCATTGTAAGATGTGTGCTAGGCACCCAGGAAGAGTGGTGTGTGGGGAGCATACTCCACTAAACAGCACTCACCCTTCCCTTTTCCAAAGGCATATCTACAATGAGTCTACTTAATGACCTTTAAGACCACACATGGCCCCCAGTAGGGAAGAGGCCCATCCCTTCTCTTCAGTAAAAAGTTGTGTTTGCAGGGCAGACCCTTCATCACACAGGGTTTACTGCAACTGGCGGGGTAACCGGATGTGAAACAGGGCTGCACAGAGAGCCTTAATCTGCACCAGGCTAATGAGGAGCCACCCAGCTTGTGCTCTGTGAATACAGTAGAGGACAAGCCCATTAGTTATAGACCAGAGGGTGCCCGGCCAAGACTGCAGTGGTTCATCTAATATTATGCATTGTTTGAATTATCTCTGAATTACTCTGTGCTTCCACAGATTGATCATTAAGAGTTTCCTATCATTCCTGAGCTGCAGTGTTTGCTCTTCTCTAAATCTCCAAGCACAGAGGCTGTGCCTAGGACAGCACAGGGTGCACAGAAAGTCTTCAATAAGTAAGAGTTTATGTAAAGGGAAACAAAAAACCTTTGGAGGTATGGCTATGTCTATTACCTTGATGGTCTCATAGTGTATGCACATGTCCAAACTCATCAGCTCATATATGTTAAATATGTGCCATTTATTATGTATCTATTATACCTCAATAAACCTGTTTTTAAAAATAAAACTTCTGTGAATACACAGAAGCTTATGTGCTCAGTTCCTTAATTAGATGGCAAGCTGCTCCAGACAGAACTTCTGGCCTACCTACCCTTGTTTGGAGCTCACAACAGCTGTTCAACATTGATTATTAAATGAATGAGTGACTTGCTTTATGAATTATCTGTGGAACAGAGGCCCTACTCCATACTTAATTGGGAGAGAGCATGGCCCAGTTCCCAGCACCTCCTAGATGGGAAATGTGGGGGGTCATCAGAGTCATCATGGGAAGAGGTGAGAGGCAGCTTCACTCCCCAAGGCCAGCTGGCAAATGGAGAACATCAGCTCATTTTCAAGCCCTTGGGAACAAGTTGTCACCCTGCAAGGCCAGGGGTGAGACTGTGCCCACCCCTTTTACAAAAATAGAGGCTGAACTATCACCAGACTCCTCTGAATGCCAAGAGCTTCCCAGATCTGGAATTAGAGGCCTCCGCCAACCAGCCTCCCACCAGAAGGGAGGCTAAGACTTGGCTCAGGCAGTAACTACTTCCTCAAGCCCTTGTTTAGATGTGGATCCACACTCATAGCCCTTATTTCAAACCATCACCCACTTCACCCCTTTCCAAAGCCACCAAATAAGTCAAAGGCTGAGGCACTTAGCTCTGCACAGATATTTTAAATTATTCTTAAAGCAACTTAAAAGGACTGTTTGTCTAGCCTGTCCAACACTCAGCACATTTTCAGTGGCAGCTGGGTCAAGCTTGAGTGGCATTTTCACCACTGACTCAGCCTCAAAATATTCCTGGGCTGCTCTCATCCTATCCTCCTTTTTGCTCCCTTGTTATATTTTGAATATTCACTCCCTCTCTCCCCGCCCTTCCACTCCCATGCACATGCATGAACATACACACGTGCACATGCACACACTCCCCCACACTCCTTTTTAAGGTATGAGCGCATCACACAACAGGCATTCTAAACTTAGGGTTCATGGATAGAATTCAGGGATCATATACTTGGATAGAAAAAAAAATTGTATCTTCATTTTCACAAACCTCTAACCAAAATATAGCATTCTCTTCCATTATGAATACAGTCAACAAACTGCATTAGTGTTAGCAATGCTAGTGTCTTTGACTCCAATAGAAACACATGCATTTTCACATCATATCAGCGATGCTGCCCTCAAACATCATTTATTTATGTGCATCACTACTTCAGGATTATGGTAGTTATTAGACTTCAAGTAGATCTTATTAGCATGTTAATTAAGAAGTGCATATAGTGCTGCTATTTTTTAAATGTAACAACTGTATTTCTCTATTTTTAGCTTTATTTTAGATTCAGGGGATACATGTGCAGGTTTATTACCTGGGCATAATCCTATCACCCCGGTACTGGGTGTAGTACCCAATAGTTTGTCAACCCTTAGCCCCCTCTCTCCTTCCCATTTCTAGTTGTCCCCAGTTTCTATGTTGCTATCTTTAAGTCCATGAGTATCCAATGATTACCTCCCACTTATAAGTGAGAGCACGTGGTATTTGGTTTTCTGTTCCTACAAATAACTGTGTTTAAATAATTGCATTCCAAGCCTATGTATATTTTTTGTATATTTTTAAATGTTATTTTGAGAAGAGGTCCATTGGCTTCACCAGATGAAAAGAGTCCATGGCACAGAGCGAGCCTCTGTTGTGGAATAAGCATTAAAAGGTAGGATTTGAGATTTTTCTCTAGGGTCATCAGGGCATGTGCCAGGAGACCTAGGGGCTAACAGGTGGTGTTCAGTGGTAGCAGGAGGCAGGTTCTGGAAGCAGAGAGATAGCTGGGCTATTGGATAAGAGCTTGGATGGGCTTCGGAGACAGACTAAAACACTGGCCCTGGCTAACCAACAGTATGACCTTGGGCCAGCCAGTTCACCTCTCTGAGTTTCTGTTTCTTCAACTGTAAAATAGTAATTGTCATATACTATATGATTCTCATGAGCACGAATTAAGGGAATATATGTGTAACAGCAATTACTGCCCTGTTGAATGGAACTTAGCTGGCCTTAGAAGGGCAGTTTCCTTGACCTGGGAACTTCTGAGGTTATGGTATACTGTTTGCTTGGTTTTTGAGGCAGGCATTATCTGTGCCCTATGCAGGCTTACCATTTCCTTGAGTTTCAGGGATACCATGAAGTCCCCCAAACTCTAAAACATGTCTAGGCAGATCTAAGTCCCCCCACCTCCCTTTCTGTCCCTTGCTCACTGAAACAGACACCCAGGCCAGACTACAAAGTAGATTCCCTGTTCCAGAGCAAAACTGGCCTCAAGAAAAAAAAGAGATGTTCCAGATCTTTCCAAAACTGGCAACAGAGCCAAAGTACCTGATTCTGGCTTCACAGAACAGCTGGCTCCTGCCCTGGCATCTCATCACTTGGTGAGCAATGTAGGAATTCTGAGGTCTAAGCTGCCATTTGCAGAGCAAGCCAGGCCAGGGTCAGACCCAGGCTGCCAGGCCACTGGGCAAAGAGGCCCGAGAAAGGTCAGAAGTTCCCAAAACTTGTTTAAATCATATTCAAAAGGTATATAAAAAGGGATATACATTTTTTTTAAAAACCTGCATATACTGATTTTCTTTTACTATATATAATAAAAGATTAGAAAACATTATAAAATTATACAGAGAAATTAAAATCAACCATAAGCCTGCCTCTAGGAAGCAAAACTATTACCATTCTGGTAAATTTTCCTGCAGTTATATTTAATACATAAATTGGGATCACAGTGACACAGAGAGTTTAAGATCTCGATTTCATCACTTAAAAATTCCTGGAGACATTTTTCAATATGAGCTCTTAACAGACAGAAAACCGTCATATCACACACTATTTGTAAAATTCACAGGTTACTAAAAGATGTCATGGCATCCCTAAGAATAGTATTGTGCATTTAAATGTAAGTTACATCCAGAAAACTGATAGGAGGAGAGCCTATTTTATTCTTCTTAAAGTGTATATAATAGTAAACTCTTCTTTCTTCTCTTAGCTTAAAGAGAATCTAGGGAAGATATCTTTTGTCCTCAGCAAAGAGGCACTATATGCCATTTTCCTTTTTTTACATTCTCCTATTTTACTTTCCCTTGATAAGGGGAAAGCTTTGAAAATTCATTGCTGAAAAAAAAAAAAAATGCTGCCTTACTCAAGAAAGTGCTTAGCAGCTGAAAAGAAATCTCTGGAAACAAGTGGGTAAGGCAAGAAGAGCCCTGGACTTGGAAACAGAAAAACGCTGGATTCAGATGTCAGTTCTGTCACTGTAGGCCCCAAGATCAAAGAACATCATTTTCCCTGAATGTCAAGAGAGATGCCACCACTCAACCCGTAGGGATCAAAGGATTATGCAGATTAAATAAGACTGTGTGAAAGTAGTTTGTCAATGGTAAAATACATTGCAGGACCATAATCACCAATTAATATTATAGTGGCGGCTAACAGTACTGTTTTTGTTCCTTAGCTGGCTTGAGCCACTCATTGTAGGCACTCAGGACAGTATCTAACAGTAGGTAAAAGCATGGACCCTAGAGCCAAACTACACTTCCCAGTTTGTTGAATTCTTTAACCTCTCAGTTTCTTCATCTGTAAAATGTGATTATGATAGTACACTTACCTCTTAGAACTCTTGAAAGGATTAAAATGAGTAAATTTACACACAGTGCTTAGAACAATACCAGGCACATAATAAATACTATATAAGGGTGAGCTTTAAAAAAAAAAAAAACTTACACTAGCTAAAAAAACAAACAATAAAAAAAAACTTACACTAGCTAATACTAGCTAAAACTAGTAGGCACACTGTTTTAAAGCTTTCCAGAAAAGTGCTATTATTAATCAGAAGGTTGGATGTGCAACCTCTGCTCCCTCACCCCCAACACAGCTCGGGTTTAACCTGCTCCCTTCCTACCTTCTCAGCATCCTGCTCGAAGAGCCGCAGCTGAAAGCACTGGTCCAGCTTGAGCTTGCGCACGTGCCACATCTGGTGCAGGTGCTGCCGCGTAGAATGCAGCTTGTCTAGGAGGCTGGTGATCTTAGGGACCAGGCTCTGGAAGTCGGCACTGCCCGGGATGCAGTTGCGTCCTGAGAAGCCATCGCTGCAGCGGATGCACTGCAGCAGCCGCTGCCCCTCTCGGTCCAGCTCCTCCACAGGGGCCTTCAGCACCTTTTTCTTGAGCTGTGTGTGCTCATCAATGAGCCGCCGAGAGCCCTCCACATCCACAGGAAACTCCTTCCGGGCTAGCATCTCCTGGAGGTCCTCGAGGCGGGAGAGCAGGTGCACGGCGCTGTTGAAGAACTCCTCCAGGGAGAGCCGCAGTTCAATCCACTCCTCATGGTTGTAGTCCAGGGAGCCGTCAAACTCCTCCGTCAGCTGGGAGGGGTCCACCAGCTTCGTGAGGCCCTCCACAGATACCATGCTGGTCTGGAAGGGGCAGACACAGACAAGGATACTCAGTGATGTTGGAGGAAGAACAGGACAGAAATAGGAGGAGGGAAAGACAAGGTAAGTCCACATAATAATGACCAGAGCCTCGGAAAGGGTGAGTAGAGACCATGGGACTCGCTGGTCAGAATTCACAGATCAGCCAGGATCAGCAGTTTCTACAGACTGCTGACTGCTTCAGCAAGCCTCTCCAACTGCCCGCCATTTACCACCCCAGAAGAACTGCCTGTGTCCCCACTCTCCTCATTTTCCCTCCTCCTGACCCCAAATTCACTTCAATAGGGCTTCAGATGCTAGAAGCAGAAGCTGGAAAAAAAACTGACCTAGTTTCTGGGAGACAGTTTTCTACAGCTTTAAAACCAAGGCCGGTGGACCCATGATGCTACCCTTATATCATGGGTATGATGATATAAGGGTATCATCATAAGTTGGATTAAGCAACATGGGCCAATGCTTGGGCTGTAAGGATTTCATAGTCTTATCTTTTCCAAGGCTCTCCCTGATAGCTCTTCTGTGGTACAGTAAACAGAACTAGGGATGGGCAACAGGCAAGTCTGGGCCCTTGGTTTTCTCTGTGAGGCCCCTACAAGCTCCTGGAGAGAAGAGTGGAGAATGTTTGCCTCCAGGAAGCAAAGTGTCTCCAGCAAGTGATGATGCAGGCAACCACCCCAGTTTATCAGTAAAAATCGTTTCTTTCCTTTAGGCCTTCAGGCTTCTCTTCTTTCTTATGAAGAATGAGAGGCTAGCAAATTAATATCTGGGTTTGGGTCCCAGCCATATGCTTACTAACTGTGTGACCCAGGGCAAGCTATTAAGGTCTCAGAGCCTCAGTCTCCTCCTCTGTATAATGAAGATAATAATTCCTTTCTCATGGGGCTTGCTGGGATTAAATGTATCAATGTGTGTAAAGCACACAGGGTGCACAGCATGGAGCACATGCTCAATCCCTGTTTGTGCTCACTGTGATGATCTGAAGGCTGCATCATTACTCAAAACCTGAAAAGCAATTTATCTCTCTATGTCTTGCTACCTACTCTCTGAGCATCCCCTCTTTGTCCCTTCTCCTTCTACCTCTCTCCTAAGAGGAAGGAAGGAGTTGCCATGAGCAGGAAGGCTGGTCTGGAACAATAGTTGTCAAATTTGTCTGATCATTAGAATCCTTTGGGGAGTGTGTAAAAATACCAATGCTCAAACCCCATCCCTAGAAATTTTGGTTTAACTGGCTACATGGGAGATTGGACATGGGTAGGTTTAAAAGTCCTTCAGGTGATTCTAATGTTCAGCTAGAGTTGCAAACTCCTGCTAATCTCCATCCTTGCAACTCAAAGCAAAGCTCTCAAACCAGCAGTACTGGCATTACATAGGAGCTTGTTAGAAATGCAGACTCTTAGGCCTTACCCCAGACCTACTGAGACAGAATCTGCATTTACAAAATCCCCAGGAGATTTGTGTGCATTAAACTTTGAGAAACCCTAGTCTAAAATACTTTCTCCTTCAAATATGGCTCAAAGTTTACCACTTCCGGGAAGTCCGCCATCATTATACTTACCAATTACGTATAAGTTGTTGAACAAGCTTATACTCTCATCTCTGTATCACTTGTCACCCCAGTCTGCACTTAGCAGTAAACTCGCTGTTCTTAAGGTATTGCCTTATAAATATTCCTTTGATTGGAAGGCCCCCAGCTATCTCTCCTATACCTCTGATTTAGGAGGCAGAGACAAGCTTGCTCAACTTAGAGTGAAGGAGGTGCAGAGAGATGGGACATGCAGGCCAGAAATGCTGAAGCAGAAGTATCAAGACTTACTGAAAAGATTCTTTTCAGTCTCTTCAGCTTATACATTTATAGGCTTCTTGTCACCACCTCTGTATAAACAAGCCAAAATATAAAATGCATTTCCCTACAGAACTCCTAGAGTTCTGGAGGGGTGCTGGGAGACCATCATAGGTCACTGTTTTTATACCAAGCCAAATTTCTTTTATTATTTACATAGAGTGAGAATTGCCTGCATCAAGTGTCAGGTCATTGTGCTCAAATCACAGCCTATTTGACACCACACACAGGCGCTCCTGGCCCCCAGGGCACAAAAGTCTGGAATGGGAAGCTGCTAGAGATTAAAAGCAGCTCTGCGCTTTCAACACACACACATTAAAAAGTTCGTCCCCTTGCAGATGAGCACTGGAATTCTGAGCAAGAGAACAGTTCAAATTTGGCTGCAACAAAGATGCTTAAATCGTTGATTTAATCTGATATATTGTCATTAAAAATTCTCAGGGGAAACATGGACCCTCTAGAAAATTTAGTTTAAAAACAACATGTTTTATTTGATTGTAAAAGTAATATGTCATCCATGAAAAAAATAAAAATATATGAAGCAAATAAAAACCACCCATTATCCAGTCACCTAGAATAAACCAGTCACCTGGAATGAACCATCACTAACTTCTTCACATGTCTCAGTCTTCTTCTCCAGGCATACACTTTAAAAACAAATCTCAGATTATACTCGCCATATTAACACCTGCATTTTACTGAACAATAAAAAATTTTAATACTATTTTTCTAAATATGGATTTTAATGGCTTCATAGTATTTGTGGAGTTTTTTAAAAATTGTACTTTAGGTTCTGGGGTACATGTGCAGATCATGCAGGGTTGTTGCACAGGTGCATATATAACCAGATGGTTTGCTGCATCCATTCCCCCTTCATCTATATCCAGCATTTCTCTCCACTTATCCCTCCCTACCCCCTGCTGTCCCTCCCCTAGCCCTCTACAACTGACCCCAGTGTGTGATGCTTTTCTCCCTGAGTCCATGTGTTCTCATTGTTCAACACCCACCTATGAGTGAGAACACGCTGTGTTTGGTTTTCTGTTCTTGTGACAGTTTGCTGAGAATGATGGTTTCCAGATTCATCCAACTCCCTACAAAGGACACGAACTCATCATTTTTTATGGTTGTGTAGTATTCCATGATGTATGTGTGCCACATTTTCTTTGTCCAGGCTATCACTGATAGGCATTTGGATTAGTTTCAGGTCTTTGCTATTGTACATAGTGCTGCAACGAACATACGTGTGCAAATGTCTTTATAATAGAACGATTTATGATCCTTTGGGTATATACCCAGTAATGGGATTGCTGGGTCAAGTGGAATTTCTATTTCTAGATCCTTGAGGGATCACCACACTGTCTTCCACAATGGTTGAACTAATTTACACTCCCATCAACAGTGTAAAAGTGTTCCTGTTTCTCCACATCTTCTCCAGCATCTGCTGTCTCCAGATTTTTTAATGATTGCCATTCTAACTGGCATGAGATGATACCTCAATGTGGTTTTGATTTGCATTTCCCTAATGACCAGTGATGATGAGCATTTTTCCATATGTTTATTGGCCTCATAGATGTCTTCTTTTGAGAAGTGTCTGTTCATATCCTTTGCCCACTTTTGAATGGGTTTGTTTTTTTTAGACAGAGGTTCACTCTGTTGCCCAGGCTGGAGAACAGTGTGCAATCTTAGCTCACTGCCTCTCAGGTTCAAGCAATTCTCCTGCCTCAGCCTCTGGAGTAGCTAGGATTACAGGCGTGGCCACCATGCCCAGCTAATTTTTGTATTTTTAGTAGAAATGGGGTTTTACCGTGTTGGCCAGGCTGGTCTCAAACTCTTGACCTCAAGTAAGCCACCCACCTAGGCTTCCCAAAGTGCTGAGATTACTGGTATGAATCACCATGCCCAGCCAGTATTTGTGTATTAATGTCACCAAAATTAATAGCTCATAAGGATAAAACCTACATGTGTATGTATATGTACTATATATGTATACATATTTATGCACATGGGTACATATACTATTGTACAGGAACATATGATGAACATTCTTGTAAACATTTTTTGTTTGCAATTTTACTTGGCTTTTTACATTTTGTTTGTAGAAATTTTGTATTAAGCCTATTTTTTTAAATTAGTCTGGGCACAGTGGCTCACGCCTGTAATCCCAGCACTTTGGGAGGCTGAGGTAGACGAATCACCCGAGGTAAAGAGTTTAAGACCAGCCTGGCCAACATATTGAAACCCCATCTCTACTAAAAATACAAAAATTAGCGGGATATGGTGGCAGGTGTCTGTAATCTGAGCTACTTGGGAGGCTAAGGCAGAAGAATCACTTGAACCTGGGAAGCAGAGGTTGCAATGAACCAAGATCATGCCACTGAACTCCAACCTGGGTAACAGAATGAGACTCCATTTCAAAAAAAAAAAGAATATTTTCCTAAATTAGTTACTAGGTATAGAAATAGAAGCTAAATAGAAGAATAGAAAAAATAAGTTCTAGTATTCAATAGCGCAGTAGAGAAATTACAGTTAACAATCATTTATAGTATATTTCAAAATAGCTAGAAGAGAAGAATTGTAATGTTTCTAGCACAAAGAAATGATAAATGTTTTAGGTGATGGGCATCTCTTTTACTCTGATTTGATCATTACACATTGAATACAGGCATCAAAATGTCACATGTACCCCAAAATATGTACAACTATGATACAGCAATAAAAAAAGAATTGCTAGATCAATGGACATAAACTCTTCCTAAGATATTTGATACAAATTGCAAAGTTGCCTTCAGAAATAAGTTGTCTCAACTTACACAACCATCGACAGTAAATAAGACTGTCTAATGAAGGTGTACATTTGAGACAATCTCTTGAGCCTCTTGTTCCTCCCCATACTCTACATGGTAAAGCTGTGGTGGCCAAGGAATCCTGAAATCTCAGCCCCTGATGTGTCACATATTGTATGGTAGATGGAGAAGAGGAAGTGAGAAATGTGTGGATGGCAGAAGGGGAAGGGAAAGAAGATGCTAAGAGAGAAAAGTCTGGCTCACCTCAAAGATGAATTTGGAGCTGCCAAAGTTGGTCTTCTGTTTCTGCCAGAAGTTGTCGGGTTTGATGATGAGGGCCACATGGATCTCAGCTGGAAAGGCTTCCTGCAGCGTTTTGAGGAGGGGCTTGATGAGGTCCCACTTGGAGCCCCGCATGTCGATGATGACAGTGAAGCCACGTTTGCACACGTCCTCACTGTGGGAAGGTCAGAGGTCGGTATGGTCACTCTGTATAGCTAAGACTTTGGAGTACACAGTCAAAATGCACCCGGAAACCTGCACTCCCATTGATCAGAATCACTCTTTCAACTTCACACCAGGTCTCTTGGCCAGCTTCAAACCCAACTCAAACTGTACTGCCTCAGAAAACCTTTCTACATTTGACCAATGGTCCTGGCACTCTGCCTTCTCCCAGCACTTGGCAAATAACTTGTCCTTCCTTTTACAGGTTGGGTATCCCTAATCCAAAAATCCAAAATTTGAAATGCTCCAAAACTTGAAACTTCCAGAGTGTCAACATGATGCTCAAAGGAAATGCTTATTGTAGCATTTCAGAGTTTGGATTTTTGGATTAGGGACACTTACCTGGCAAGTAGAATGCAAACATTAAAAAAGAAAAATCCAAAGTCCAAAACACTCTGGTCCCAAACATTTTGGGTAAGAGCTACTCAACCTGCAGTCAACTATACTTGTTGTGATGTTTACAATTTGGGTATTCACAATTATGTTTGATTTTTCACTTTACCTTTTGTCTTCTTTTCTTATTCCTAAAATGAATCATGTTTTCCACATTAAAATTCAAGTTTTCTAAAGACAAAGACCCTGTCGCCTCTTAAACCTGAGATGGAAAGTCCTTGACAGAAGTATTGTTCTTCCCTGTGCCCACATCAATGACAGACACTGGTATATTTTACCACTGAACACAAACTGGACCAAAGAATACTTTTTTAAAAAGGGTTCTAGGTTGATTCTGCCAGTTGATTAGAGATGGGACACAAAGTATTAATAACATGTATTTACCACCATTGTATTTAAGATATATTACTTGCATTTTTACTATTTCTTTTTACATTTTTTAAAAAAGAGTCAGGCTCTCCCTATGTACACAGGCTGGAGTACAGTGGCTATTCCCAAGCATCATCACAGTGCACTATAGTCTCAAAACTCCTGGCTTCAAACGATCCTCCCGCCTCAGCCTTCCAGGTAGCTGGGATTACAGGCTTGCACCACCATGCGCAGCTTTGCGGTTTAAAATGTACGTCAACTTAAAAAATCAGGTCACTGAGTCATGCCGATCACTCAGAGACGGCCAAGAGTGGAACTGATTGGAACGGAAGATGCAGACCAGTTTTCTCATGTATTTCCATTGTAAGAGGCACAGTGTGAAATGTGTATTTCAAGATGTTAAAGGAGGTTGGGGGAGGAGTAACTTTTGAAATCAAGGCAAGTTGAAGGGACAGTGACCATCTTGAAAACCAAGACATAGGCAGGCTAAATAAATCAAGATCTTTCTATATAACTTAGTAGCAAAGTTTATTTAAACACTTGAACTTTGACTGTAACTCCTGAAAATAGGAAGGAAAAAAATGAAGGTCAGAATAGTTATAATATGTCAGTTTGGAAGAAAGTCTATGTTTGGGTAGTTAGGGGTCTTTTCTTCTCTCTCCTTTTCTAAGCCAATCCATTTATTTTATAATTCAAAATAGACATTGGCCTATTTTAAAATATAAATACCAGTATAGTATTTCCTTAGGGTCTTCCACTTAAAATTTCCCGTTTCACAGACTGCACTTGTTTAAACCACTATGTATGCTACATGACCCTCATATGTGCCTACCACATATCAGTTACTTACAGATGCTGGCAGTAAGGCCACCGTTGAATGATTCAGGTCACAAAAAGAAATAAAAACCTTTTGGGGGGCTTTATCGTCAAATTTCAACCAGTGATGAGAATGTTACAGCCTCATGAAGAGATTGCAGCTCCTGACTGTGTGTGTGCCTCAAGCAAAGGGCAGCTTACTTAGGTTTCCCTGGTACACAGAAAATTCCCCAGGGGACAGAACTCTCTCTAGCATCAGAGAAAGGCTGAGTATTCTCCCCAGATCCTGCATCCTAAAGGAACAGAGTTGCCTCTTCTTCTCTGACACTTATTGAAACGAGTGGCCAAAGTTTTCCATAAATAATTTTTCTACCTTCTTGTCTGAAAGCAATGTGACTTTTTTCTAAATTACAGGATTTCTTTCCCATTATAAGAGAAACACCCTATAATTAATAGAAAAGTTAAAGTAGTCAAAGATCCATACAAGAGATACTAATGGTAGGACTTTATAACACCTAGGCCTACTTCCTTTCCACATTCTCTGTGCATATAGTTTTCATACCATATACTGTTCTAGTTTTCACTGTAATATACAGTTTTTTCTTATGTCTAAAATTTCTTCCAACCTGTTGGTTGCATTTAGTGATAGTCCATCTTATGCCGTAGTCCATAACTTACTTAGTCATTCTCATGATTGCTTTACAAAAAGGTAGGTCAACAGTACCCCCCTTACTATATCCTCACCAGCACTGCTCACTGAATTTTTGAAATTGTTGCCCGTTTCATTTAAAAATATGTTGTGTTATATTTAAATTTGCATTTCTTTGATTACTAGTTATTGCTTTTACGCCCACAAATATTTCTTCTGTGAATTACCTGATCAGCTCTTTTATCCATCTTTCTATGAGGAATTAGTGGCTACTGGGATTTAGAGGTTTTCTCACTGAGCATCATTTAGTTTAGCTTGACTTATATTTGTTGCATGCCCACCTATTTCAGGTTCGGCAATGTTAACCATGGTTCTTGCCTTTCCTTAGGGATGATGGTCTTCCTTATTTCCCTGCTCCTCAGATTCCATCTCTGTGGCTATAATTACGTTGACCTGAGAATTCTTTGTCCCTAACAACAAATATTCCATGTTGCTACCAAGAGCTAGAAGTTGACAATCCCAGCATCCAAAGTTGGTGGTCAGTAGCACCTATTAACTAATCATTTCTGACAACTAAAAGTAGAAACTAGGTGCTTATATTCTCTAGGAGGTTCTCAATAACTCAGGAGATGGAAAAAGAGGCCCAGGAGCTGAGTGCTGTGAGTTAATTTAATAGGCATCTTTCTGTGAAACAGGCTAATCTTCCAAGGTGCTTTGTGTGTGCTTTGGTTTTAAATAACGGGCATAGCTGGGAAAGGAGAAACAACTACTTTACTATGTGCTCATTCTATGCTGGGGCTATCATTTCATTATATCCTAACAATAACTTCATAAACTAGGTATGATTATCCCCATGTGAGAGAAGATGAAATTGAGGCATAAAATTTGCCTAAGGTCACATAACTAGTAAGTGGCTAAGCAAAAATTCAAAACCAGGACTCTTGACTTGAAAACCCAAGCTCAGGCTGAGTGTGTTGGCTCACATGTATAATCCCAGCACTCTGGGAGGCTCAGGTAGGCAGATCACTTGAGGTCAGGAGTTCAAGAGCAGCCTGGCCAGCGGGGTGAAACCCCATCTCTATTCAAAATTTAAAAAAAGAGAAAAAAGAAAAGAAAACCCAAGCTCAGGTCACTATATGATACTATACGCCACCACACTGACACTATGTATGGATGTTTTTGTTTGGGGACAGGAGTTGTGGGTCACAGATGAGGGGATTAAGTTAGTGGACTCAGAGGAAATGGGGTAAATTAGGGCAAGGAGTCTAAGTGAATGACCTCCATTCTGCAGTCTATGTGAAATCACAGTTAGAGAAGCAAAACAGCATGGCATATTGTGAAAATTGAAGCGATTAGCTCTGGTTCAGGCTTTGAATGCAAGAAAGTGCAGCCCTGAGTGCTTTGGAGAGCCCCATTCTGGGCTCTGTCCCTCCTTTTGCCCACACACCCCCCAAGAAGCCAAGATGACTCACTCACATAGAGTCTGTGCTGCACCTCCCTCTTCCCCTTCTAGGCCAAGCTCCTAGTATCTGAAACCCTAACACTCTCTGCCCAAAAGGCCCTTAGCCTACCTCCTGGGCTCATGGGTCTCTCTTTCCAGGGTCCAATTCCCGAGGGCAAGTAACACCACCATTATGTGTACCCCTAGGCCTAGGGGGTGACAAAGGGCTGCTATTTGCAAGGATGTGGTTAGAACATAAATGTGTGAGCTGGGGTGTTCACTTGCATGCATGAGGCTCCCTGCCATACAGAGCTGAACTGGGGAGTGGAGAGAGAAGGCAGGCAGAGCATGAGTGGGGGGCTGGTCTACTGTGCTGCCACATTTGGGCCTGGGAGCTCAAAGGAGTCCAACAAATCTAAATTTAAATTTGGCCTCATAGGTTGCTGTGAAGATATATTTGTCAAGGTAGAAGGACAGAACATGTTTCATTTAACAGTTTGTTAGCTTGCTACATTAATTTTAAATATTCAGACAAAGGGTATGTGAGCTTCCATTTGTACTCTTGCCCTAGGCACCACAATGTTAGAATCAGGCCTTGCAAGAGAAGAGACTGGAGTGGATATAGGCTTCAAATCAAAATGCTCCTCATATGCGAAGGCAGGAGCACTGGATTTGTCCTAAAGGCAATGAGGAACTACTGAAGGGTATGATTCAGGAAAGGAACATAATCAGGTGATTTGGAGAGATTACCCACCAGCTGTGCAGAAGGAGAATAAATTGGGGTCAGCCCAAAGGAGTGTAACAGTAGAAGACGGGTCCTTGCTAAAATGACTCTTCAAGGAAGTCTTCCATGGACCATCCTAGTTAAACCTGTAACTGTCACCTGGCACTCCTAACTCCCCTTCTCCTTGTTTTTCTCCTTAGCACTTATTACCATATGGATAATACATTTTATTTATTTGCCTACCATCTTCTCTCACTGGAAAGTAACCTCAGAAAGGCAGGAGGTTTTTGTTCATTTCACTGTTGAATGTTCAGTGCTTGGTGCACACGAGGCAGGGGAGGCAGCAGTTAAGGGTAGGAAAACTACAACCAGCTTCGCAGGCCTGAATCCTGGCCTCATCATTTACTTATTGTGGAACCCCTCTGTGCCTCAGTTTTCACAAGGTAAAATGTGAATAATAATTACAGGGTTGTCTTAAAGGTTAATAGACACAAATCACTTAGGATGGTGCCAGACACATGCTGTTCTATGTAAGTCTAAGCTGCCATAGGAGATGTTACT